AAATGACTTTTTGCCTTGGCGATCACATAATTCTAAAACGCATTAAAAATAATAAATGAAAATACTTACAAATTCCGTTAGAAAATTATTAACTGTAACCATTTTTGTTCGCATGGCTGCTGCGATCATCAAAGAAGCGATCGTCCAACTATAAGTGTAGCTCTCGAATGATTAGGCCAGTGTGTACAATAATTGATTCAGCGAGTAATACGGATATATTTAATTTGAGTCCCATTTGTTCACTCTTTTATAGCTGTTTGTTTCTGTTTAAGTTGATTTGCTTTCAAATGTGACCCATATTCTTTCGGCAAATGTCCACATCGTCAAACCTCAGACTAAAAACACATAACTGCATTTCAACGCTGCGAAAGTTCTTCCCCACAAATCCTTCCTTTAACAGAAAACTGTCGGGCATTTTTAACTGAAAATGTCACTGATTTGCCATCGCATTGCCTTCTAAAATTTTCAAAATGTTAGACAAAAACTGTATGACCGAACACCTATATACAATTTAATTGTTCACGTCAATTTTGCAACGTTGGAATGGAGTCCCGCTTCATCGTCTGGAAAACGTCAAAATGTGAAGGTGTCACATTGCAAGTGCAAATAGAAAACGAGAGGAATAAACCAATGAAAACAGTGGATCGAATGAATGCAGGTGCTCTGTATTTACATATGTTCGATTTTAAAACGCATTGCAGCGATCTGTGAATACTTGTAAAATTTTCCGTTCGTTCCATCCAGTTAATTATCATAAAGAAAGCAAACAACTGGATGGTGGCAGACTGAAATTCGAACCAAAACAGAGACGTACTCGTATATTATTAATCCGTAAATTTCCACCGGGTCATCCTAAATTTGTCTCATCCTAGTTTCCCAAATATTTCAGGCCAGTAACCTCAAACGATATTTAAACACGAGTCGCACGGCTCGAAAACAAGCTATTTCATTTTTTTTAAAGAAAGGCATTTTTGACTGATTCTAGATTTCGTCCAACGTCCTATATCATCCACAGCGCTTGGTAGAGCGCCAAAGGGAAGTTAGAGATAAAAAAAAAAAGTAGAATAAGAATCATGGTAACACTCTTCTCGGTGTATGATTAAATGCATCCCGTAAGATTAAAGGCGAAATACACGCTCGCCATAGAGTTTTACTCACACCGAAATCTTTTCAGATCGTTTTTATGAGTCCCCTTTTTGTCAGTTTAACCGATTTTTGACTTTAACGATACTACAGAATCTTTGGGTACTGTAAATGAAAATATGTGTTTTAGTTCTCTATAGCGTCTCATAGTTTCTAATTCCCCGCATCACTGGCAACAACGTAGTTTCGCAAGCTAGGCGAATCAGGAAATTAGAATAAAACACTTGTCGCTCGAAAAATCGAACGATAGCCGTTGTCATAAATAGGAGCAAACAAAATAAATATAAACTTTTGCTGACATAATCGTCATTTTTCATTCCAAATCGATTTTTGCTATATAAATATTCCATGAAAGAGTATTTTTATCAAAGTATATCAAAATACATGCCGTGCATTTTTTTCGTTCTTAAGTCAGGAAAGTTACATATTATGTAAATAGGGAATTAGACTAAAAACTTAGAAATAATTTGAGTCTTTCCGTTTATTTACCTTTGTCTCTACACGAGTGAAAATTGGTTTACTCTTCAATTTTTGAGTGATTTTCCTTGTCAAGCATAGGAGATGAGATTAATATTTGTCAATCGAATTTAAAAATGAACCGATTGACTTTAATGGAATATAAAATCAATTAGGTGAAATGTTTTTTAAGCAATCGTGCTTTATCAACAGGGTAGAGTGATTTGTCGATTTGTCGCTCTTTATGAATCCGTGGTGATTCTTTCTACGTATAGTCTTCAGTTACAGAGCTATCGGCATGCTAGATTGAAAAGCTCCATCTCTTTACGCTTATTTTCACCCCATTACCTTACCGTAATAAGAGCGTGTCTTCAGTTTCCTGTTTACAGTGGTTTTTCTCGTTCGTGCTTTGCATGGTGTATTTTCCGGCGTGACATATTGTCTAGATAGAGACGTGGCGTGCTTTGCGATATATCGATTGACCTGTCATTTAAACCTATGGAAAAGGATCGGTAAACAGGGTGTTCGCAACGAACACCTTAATAATCGATTTTTTACCGCAGCTTCAAATAGGAAGATATCAATAATCGATCATTCACGCCTCGCCACTATGTCCATCCCGTAGAAAATGTTTAGGCAGACAATCGCATCATGTTCTTCATACACGCTGTCAAGTCAGGCAACCTGTAAAATCCCCTCACTAGCATATCTGATGACAATGACTGCATAGAGGCGTTTATACAAAAAAAAAAAAAAAGAAAAAAGAAACTCTTAAACAAACTGTTAGAATATCTCACGGGAAAACTCCTTTCACATTATTTATTAAAGTAAAATTTACTTTTTAGTCAAATTAAAAGAAAAATTGCCGAAGAAATGTATTAAGAAAAACTGCAGTAGTTTTTATATGACAGCTTATCACATTTTGTAAAAATTCTAAAATGTATTAAAAATACAGTAAAGCCGTTGAGAATTTTTCAAAATACTTTATCCAATACATACATTTTACTAAAAAAGAATATACCAAAAAAGCGGTTCCCTTTTTTACGTTTTTAAAAATTATATTGTATTTTGAGCTACACATGTTTTTTTACAAGTTTTCATGTAGAGATGTGCCTCCTTTTGTCGTTCCTGTAACGAAAGGTCGTATCTCTATTTTTACGTGAGCCCTGTTCTCCGAATAACACTCTGCTTTTCGGGGCTCATGTGAAAATGACATACGCTCTTACGTTAGAGGAGAGACGCTTTTACATTCCCGCAATTGGACGTATTTATGCTAAAAGGAACAATGTGCATAGGGTTTGCTTGAAACATAGTTCCTTTGGACATAAACACGTTCAATGGACTACTACACAAGGTACGAATTTAAGCAATCTGATACAAGTTTTTTGACCAGAATTTCACGTAAAACACGATTCGCACAACGAAAATTACTGAAACCAACTCCTAACGAAGATATTCACGTTTTTATTTCACATTTGTTATGAGGAATTTGAACTGCCCGCTCACAAGAAACTCAAAGCTCTACGTGAGTCAAATCGCGCACTACAACGGGTTCAGCAAGCTTCTCAATTGAGCAATGTTCATTCCCCATCGTGTCGTTCAAACTATAAGCAATTTGCTATAGCTGAGCCAAAGCGTCAAGACTGAGGTTGCCAGATTTCTATATCGCAGGGACTGTCATGATAATGTTTAGCGCGTGATGTGAATCACGTAGAGCATTGAGTTTTCATGAGCGAGAATTTTGAATTCACGCATCAGAAATCATTAAATATCTTCGTAAGGAGTTAATTTCGGTAATTTTTGTTGTGCGCATCGTGTTTTACGTGAAATTTTAATTATGGAACATGTATCCGAATGCTGAAATTCGTACCTTGTCTAGTGGTCTATAGTCCATGAGAAAAGAAGCCTTTAGTGCCAAAAAACTTATCATCGTAATATTGGACGCATTTAAATTAAAAGGAATCAATTTGATCAAAGATCATGTTACAAAGGTTAGAACCTTTGTAACATGATCTTTGCAATGCTTGTATTCTTAGGGATCTCAGGGCTCTTGATAGAATGGATATGATTCCTTTTGATTTAAATTCAACCTATTGATTCAACGATACCATCTTAGTGCCACATCAACACTGGTGCAATAAATATAATTTTTGTTGCATAGCATTTTTTGGTCTCAAATGTTTCATTTTCTCGGCACAATCCGCAAACCTCTCGAACGTTATTAAGATTTTTTATTTCGTGGTAATTCTCTCTATTTCATGCATTCACATGCAAAATGCATTACTTTTAAATGAGCTAGGTCTAGAAGTTAAGATACAGGACAAGAAGGTTTCTTACTGATAAACACGGTAAATTTGTTCCACTAGTTCCTATCTCCGGAGTGAGAATATTTTGTTTACCCCACCTTTCTGACACAAGAACGTTAAGACTAATCTACTGCCGTGCTAAGGAAGAGCGCCGTATGAGCCTTCAGCCGTTGCCAAGTTTCCTCCGATAAAAACCGAATTTACTGGGAAATGTGAATATTATTTTCCAAAATTTGCAGACAATCTTGTACGCAATTTAACCTAAATTTTTCAAAGGAAAATATTCGAAAGTTGACCAAGAAATTCGTGTTTTATCAAGGGAAATTTGGCCACTCTCGAATGTTCATACGGCGTTCTTCCTTAGCACTAGTCTATAGACACAAGAGCCACTCTCAAATCACCAATTGAGAGTCCTCTCATCATCTTCTTCCCTGGTATGTCGAACGGTGTAGAGTCTCCACTCTCTACAGTAATGGGCCTGTTGCAAACTTTTGCTAGAGCAAAAATAAGAGTTGTTTCTTGTAGATAATGCCTCAAAAATCACGATGAGCGCATCGGCAAAGTCTGAAATGCACTCATAACTTCACAATCTGCGTAAGAAATTTGCGTTTTTTTAAGCTTCCCGCTTCAAAAACGATACTACGGCACAGGTGAACATTTTGTTAGAGGAGTCGCTCCATCGTAGGCGATATTCATCATGGCCGACGCTTGCGCGCAGTTCCGCACGTAATTCGAGGAGAGTTCAAGGTCAATCAATTCGGGCGTGGAAAATATGAACGTTAACACACCGATTGTTATCTGGTCTAATCCAGTTCAGGTGTTATCTCGTCCCATCAAACGTGTTTTGGCGGATTGGCATCGGCCATGATGATTATTGCCGACGATGGAACGACTCCTCTTACAAAATGTTCACCTGTGCCGTAGTATCGTTTTTGAAGCGGGAAGCTCAAAAAACCACAAATTTCTTACGCAGACTGTGAAGTTATGAGTGCATTTCAGACTTTGCCGATGCGCTCATCGTGATTTTTGAGGCATTATCTATAAGAAACAACTCTTATTTTTGCTCTAGCAAAAGTTTGCAACAGGCCCATTATATCCTAATTTTTTCTCGGGTGTACATGATATACCACAGTTCCGATCGAAAAGGCTGCTAATCATTTACCATGTATCGAGTTCTATTGTTATGGGTGCTTGTGTGACGGGTTACCTGCTTCGTCAAGTTTGTTAAAAAGTGAGTAATTTCTCGATCATTCAGGGTGATACATTTTTCGCAATTTTCTGATCCTCTAAAATAGGCATTAAACTATGAAGTATATAGAAGAATGCCCTTTGAAACATTTTTCTTGCCTAATCGACAGTTTTATGTTGTACAAAGAGCCTTAACCCTGAATTTAAGCGAAAAGGGACGATTTCCAGAGGGAAAACTTCCCTCCTTTTAATTTTTGTCTCATATTTAGCGCCATGGCAACGCCCTAGTTTGTTGTAAAAGTGACTGACACGTACAAATATTTAAAGAATCGATTCCAATACACTTTCCTCGTGTAGAAAAGAAAAGAAAAAGAAAATCGAAAATCGTCTGAAAAATTCCTCTTGAGGATATAAGTTTGATAAAAATTACTTACACGGACCAACCGCCATTTAGGGTGTATCGTCTATCTGGTTTCCATCTGTCTCTGTGACCTTTAATCCCTCTCCATTTAAAGTGCGCCTGCAATTCTTCTGAATAAGCAACTAACTTACCGAGGAAAGCGAATAGTTATCTCCATGAAAAGCACGTAAAATTATATTGACTATGTGGAAATGAGAAATTGAGAGAGAAGGAGGTGTTGCTATGGTTGCTCATTTTCTAAATGAAATGTTATTACTTTCTCCTTTTGAATCATCTTTTTAAATTGTCATTGGTGAATATTTGGTTTTATTTCTATCCTTAAAATATTCGATGTACAATATACCTTATATATGTATGGGTACTTTTTTTTTATTTTTTTCTTCACGACATTATTACTTCATTTTGAAAACATTTATATTTTTAAAACGTGGCAAATATTTGTGAAACCTTCTCCAAGCGACATCAATCTCAATGAGCCGCAGTTGCGCTGATAGAAACCACACAAATGAATAAAGGAGGGAAGAAAACCAAGAAGCACGCAATCTTTAGCTTTAACCCATTTGTACATCGATCTTTTAGAGTCAAATACATCAAATTGTGAGCGCTTGGTTGCGCTCATACCTCGCTGCAGCACAAAAAAAGCACAAAATGTAAAAGAAAAAATTAAAGTGCTTTGGAGATCATTAAACACACGGAACCACCAATATTTAAAAAACACACATTATATTATTATTCTCCTTTGATAAATTGATACACATTTTTCCCCCATCAATTTAAATGAGAATAATCAATGCAGAGTGTGCAAACATTTCAAAATCATGAGTTAAAAAACGCTGACTATGCGAGTATAAATACTAAAGCCGAACAGAGCGGAGCGGCGTGCTGCCAGCGCGAGAGGGTCACTGGCGCCTACAAACCTAGGTGGATACTTCACGCAATGCACAATGCTTGAAGTATCCACTTAGGTTTGTAGGCGCCGATGCGCGTTTCGTGCTGGCCGCCCGCCCGCCGTGCGGCGGCGCCTAAAGCAATTGTCTTTGCCTTACCATAGGCTTTCATTTGAGCCTTGTCCCGTTGACCAACTCGGGTATAAAAAAGGGGCTAAAAAACACCACTTTTTGGCGAGGTTCTTTAATCGTTAAGATGCGATTCTCCGGTTAATATTTTGTTGTTTTAGGAATCAATTCACCCAAAAGGCATCCATACATTAGCGAAGAGGATCCGGTCTTCAAACCCAAAATTTAGCCGTTTCATCTCGGCTGAACCATGAATACCCTCACGACACTACTACTGCTGTCAGTCGTGGGTCAGCTCTCGGGACACGAGATGCAGATCGAGGACTACGTCCGGATGCTGGAGCAGCGCCTGAGGGCCAAACGTCAAGTTGTCCCCTTGGACCCATTCGCGCAAAGCGTGGACGTGTCCGGGGAACACGCGTTCGTGGCCCCCGGGCCGGGGGACCAGCGGGGCCCTTGCCCTGGACTCAACGCCTTGGCCAATCACAACTACCTCCCGCACAACGGCGTAGCCACCGTTCCTCAGTTCTTCCAGGCGGTCACTTCCGTCTACGGGATGGGTGCAGACCTCGCTGTTATCCTCTCCATTTTAGGTCAGACATGTAAAATTAAAGACCACCAGACAATGGAGATGTTGTGTGTGAGAGGAATTTGCGATTTGACTATTGATATATACATACATAAAAGTCGCCTTACAGCACTCCCTCGCGCTCTACGACTCCTAACCTCCACTGCTCTCTTTCAAACCACAACTCCTGGGGCATTGAGCACCTTAACAATTCCGCTTCAATCCTACCTTGACTATTGATACTAATGTAAAAGTTGGCGAGAAACACGATGGTGCCACTGGTTTTCTCTGAAATTAACTCCCAAGCTCAAGAAAGCTCTCAAGTTGAGGCCAAAATGGAGGGGATATCTCACGCTATCCTGAGAGTCTACCTCTACATCAAGACAAACTCTCCATGCAAAGATAGGGAGCAAATGCATTGACAGGGCTGCCACTCTATTTGGGGCCTCCAAAACTGAAAACACGACAGCACTGCTGATGTATTTGCTCCCTATCTTTGCATAAAGAGTTTGTCTTGGTGTAGACTTGGACTCTCAGGATAGCGTGGGATATGATATCCCCTCTATTTTGACCTCAACTTGAGTGCTTTTTTTGAGCTTGGGAGTTGATTTCAGATAAAACCAGTGGCTCCATCGTGTTTCTCTCGAACTTTTGCTTAAGAATCAATAGTCAAATCGCAAATTCCTCACACATGAAACATCTCCATTGCCGCGATAGCAAAGAGAGCAGTCAGTGGAAAAATGAACGGTGTCAGAAACGTCTGGCCGAAAAATTTTATTGGAAGAAGCTTCCTTTCTCTTTCAAATTGCTACTAATCATGAGTAAGATTCTAAGAAATTGTTCGGATAATTGAAAATCGACCGATTTTATTTCAATTACATGAAATGGGTATTTTTTTAATTTCTTGTTAGGCTAGTAGTAGGCAAAACAGCTTTAAGTGCAGTCTTCTGCATGCTTTCGTGGTTGCGTTTTGGACACGCAACCAACACATTTCCAGGGTAGAAGTTGGCAGAAAAAGGCGGCACTTTACTTGAGAGCACTGTTGTCATTGGCTCTCTGGAGAAATAATGTCACTTACTGCTGTCTTGCCTGAAATTACTTAATTTTTTGCGCAATTACGGTTTTATACGTCTCGTGTTCCTACAATTAAGATGAATTTTGCTGTTTTAGTTATTTCAGTGATTTCCTCTGGAAGAGATTGGATGAATTTTGAACGAAACTCGATTTTGAAAAGACACTTATTGCTCTCTTCGCTATCAAGGCAAACGAGGTGCGAATTTAAGCCTTATGATATGTTTGTTGCAGTCAAAGCAGGGATTCCATTAAATGCCTAGATAGAGCGTCAAATTTTGACATTTTGACAGAAAAAGCTATAGACAAAGAACACACAAGGAGTATGGAGCGATCCAATCGGTTGAATCATGTGGTTCTTACAGACCAAGGGAGGAAATTATGGACTAAGTAATGGATCTCTCGTGGGTCCCCATTAGTTAGTCTATTATTTACCTCCTTTTACCATTGCAACCACCTGTTTCCACCGGTGGGATGTCTTAATATCCCTCTTTTCTTCACGGAGAAAAAAACTTCGTTCATGGGGCCCGAAGCTAAGGTCATATGGATCTCTGAAGTTTTCTGATCACGCATCCGAAAACTTGAGGTCGAGCTGCCGAAGTTCGGGTCAGACATCTAAAGTACTTCGGTAAGTATCGGAGTAATTCAGATGTGTGACCCGAACCCTTCGGTAAACATCGAAGTACTTAGATGTCTGACCCGAACTTCGGCAGCTGGACCTCAACTGCCGCGATAGCGAAGAGAGCCGTAAGTGCAAAAATTAAGTTTTGAGAAAACGGGCTCAGAAACTTCTGACAAGAACATTTTATTGAAAGAAGCCTCCGTTCTTTGTCAAATTGCCACTAATCGTCCGGAAGACTCCTAGAAATCATATGGATGATTAAAAATCGACTGATTTTATTTCCATTACATAAAAAGAGTATTTTTCATTTTCATGCTAGGTTAATGTTAGGCAAGACAGCCGTAAGTGCTATCTTCTGCATGCTTTCGTGGTTGCGTTTTGGACGCACAACAAACACATTTTCAGGTTAGAAATTGGCAGATGAGGGTGGCACCTAACTGGAAAGCACTGTTTTCATTGGCTCTCATGCACTTGCGGCTGTCTTGAAAAAAACTATGTCATTTTTTGTGCACTTACGGCTTTCTCATACGTCTCGTTTTCATTAAAGTAGGATGAATTTTGCTGTTTCAGCTGTCTCAGTAATTTCATCTAAAAGAGTTTAGACGAATTTTGAAGAAAACTCGATTTCGAAAATTTTGCACTTACGGCTCTCTTCGCTATCACGGCAGTCAAGTTTTTAGATACGTGATCCGAAAACTTCAGAGATCCATATGACCTCAACTTCGGGTCCCGCGCACGAAGTTTTTTTCTCCGTGTTCTTTGTCTACAGCTTTGTCTATACATTTCGACGATGAGCCTACAGGCATACAAAATGCCACTTTTCCATGCATGTTTCAGGTGCACTCCTCGATGGGGACATATGTTGTGCCTGGAGTATCGGCGGGGCCCCACCCAACTTCACGGCGGCCACCGCGGGGTTGAGTCTCCTCGGCGAGTCGCAGGGCCTCTCTCACAGCCACAACAAGTATGAAACGGACGGCTCACCCACCCGCGGGGATTTTTGGATCACTCGCAACAGTGACCTCGTAATGGATCATTGGGAGGCTATGGCTGATCTGCCATACTACGACCTGACCACGCTGACACCTTTCCGCGCGCAGCGAAACAAGGAAAGCAGACAAACGAATCCGTACTTTTTTCTCGCTCCGGTGTCCGGGGTGGTCGTCCAACCGGCCGCGTATGCGTTCATCTACCGGTTCATGGCCAACCATTCTGCCGAGTATCCAGAAGGCTTACTCGAGCTTGAGGTAATAATACACAACCTCATATTGAAATGTCTATTAAAGCACTAAATATGTGATGCACCACTTGGAGCGAAAAGAAGAGTTGTTTCTCATAGAAAATGTCACGAAAGTCACGATGAGCGCATCGGAAAAATCTCTGAATACATACACACCCTGGTAAAAATTGGCGATAAAGGCTGCGTTTCAAACTACCATAGAAATTCTTATAGCCGGCTAAAGAAGGCTACAGAAAATCATCTAGCTGGCTGTAGAATGCGGAGAAAATCATACGGCCGGGCTATACGAAGCGATAAAAAATTATGCAGCCGGGCTATAGTTCCTATCGCCGGGCTTTACACTTTATCGCCTGGCTGTTGCTTTTTCGCCATCGATTATATAAGGCTATAAGAATTGTGTAGAAATTCGTGTGCTTTGGAAATCATTAAGTTTGATACGGAACCACCTTAATATTTACAAAACACACGTTATATTTTCCTTTAATACATATTTTTTTTTCATCAATTAAAACGAGAATAATCCCTACAGGATATGCAAACATTTCAAAATCATGAGTTGAATAACGCTGACTCCGCCAGATTAAATATTAGAGCCTAACACAAAGCGGAGCGGCGACGCACTGGCGCCTACAAACCTAACAGGGATACTTCACGCATTGCGCAACGCGTGAAGTATCCCTGTTAGGTTTGTAGGCGCCAGTGCGCGTTTTGCGCTGGCTGCCCGCCTGCCGCGCCGCAGCGTGGCACGGCGCTTGAAGCAACTATTTCACACCAGAGGTATTGCACAGTATCATACGAAACTGAAAGCGCTCTAATATGTTAGAATGGCAGGCACCCATCAAAAGTACGGAGCTTTCCTCGCAAAATAAATCAAGATACTACGGCCCAAAAAGAGAGCAGTGGTCCAAAAACTCACTTTAAGTCCTAGCATCCGTAATTAGTGACGTTTAGCATACACTTTATCGCCTGGCTGTTGCTTAATCGCCATCGGTTATAAAAGGCTATGAGAAATTGTGTAGCCGACTATGAAACTATTGGAAATCTTACAGCCGGCCGTAGGTCTATGGTATTTTGGAACGCAGATTCTACTGCCAATTTTTACCAAGGAATGCATATCGCAGAGTGGTCCATTCATCCAATTTCTTACGACTTTTTTCCTTGATGGCAGGTCCTGAAGTCCTTTTTCGGGGTGAGCGGGGAGCGCGGGAACTTCAGCTACAAGCCCGGCCACGAAGAGATCCCGGCCAACTGGTATCGACGCGCCGTCGGCGACGAATACGGCCAGGTGTTCTTCCTCAAAGACCTCCTAGAGGCCGCCCTTCAGTACCCCGAGTTCCTCTCTATAGGGGGCAACACTGGCGCAGTCAACACCTTCACCGGAGTCGACCTCACGGATCTCACCGGGGGGCTCTTGAACATTCGCACCCTTTTCGAGGGCGACAATTTGCCCTGTTTCGTCTTACAATTCGCGGAGCTGGTCGCTGTGTCCGCTCTCCAGGCTGTTACCAGGAGGGTCGATGATGTCTTGTTGAAGGGGGTTATCGGCAATGCAACGGCCGGCCTCGTCTGCCCCGAGTTGAGCTTTTTCCCGCGGTTGTTTGATCAGTACCCGGGCTGGACCGAGTTGGGCCCGGACGGGTCTTATCCCGACCCGATTTCCAGGATCATCAGTATCGTGTGGTCCGGAATGTTACCCAAATTCTAGGGGTCGCAAAATGATGCCGAGGTATGGACAGATCGCTTGATGGAGAGCTTAGGGCCCAAAAGTGCAGCCACCCTTCTGAGCAACTTCTAACAAACGAAATTTCACTGCCAGCCTACAGATTTCAATTCTAACCACGATGGCCAAGAATGTACATAAATGAGCGTTCTTTCGCAAAATTGAGTAAAACTATGCAAAAAGTAAGCCAATCAAATGCTTTATAAACGACGATTCGTAACAATTGTATTTGTAAATCGCTCTGGACATTTGAAATTCATAGGTTGGCTGCATTTTTGGGCCCTAACTTTATTTGCGGAGGCATCGGTGAAGGCCTGCTGATGAATTTTCGGAGTTTCACATCTGTCTATACTCTCGCTATACAGGTACTCTAGGTGCATTGAGACATCTGGATTGCACTTTGCAATAGGAACCACTTTCTCTGGCTCTCCTTTAAAGCACATATCTGCATAGGGAAACCGATGGCGTGTATGTTGTTTCTAAAGTGGGCCGGAAATAGTGGTTTCTTATTGCAGAATGTAATCCATTTCATGATGTACATATCGACGGTGAAACTACCAGGCCACGTATCTCGTTTGCGGTGTTTAAAAATCTCCGCTCCCATTTTATGCTTTTTGAAGAGGAACAAATCAGCATCTTTTCCTGAAATTTTCACTGATGTTCTTCGCACATCCAAAAATATACACAGCAATTTTCAAGAGTTGACGTTGAGTGGTTTTCCATTCAAAAAATGAAGTATGACAGGAAGTCCACAACGTCACAAACCGAAATGTGTGGTCTAGTATTATCACCGTCGTTATGCCAAGTAGCATAGAATGCAATGAATTGCAATTGGACGTATTTCTACTAAACGGAAGTATGTGCATTAAGACATGAACCCTGAGATCCATAAGAATATATGCATAACAGGGCTCAGGTCGCATAATGCACATACTTCCGTTTGACAGAAATACGTCCAATTTAGACCCTGGGTACAGAAATGACAGTTTTTGGCTGCGGTGTCTCAATATCTTTGGTGCTCATTTACATTTTAGAGAGGAAACTATTGGTTGAATTTTTCTGAAATTTTCCTATTCAGCAATGTGAAATTATGAAGAAAACTCAGTAAAAGTTTCAGCAAATTCCATACATTTGCTTTAATTATAATGGATGAGATGAAATGTTAGAAAAGATTCTGAGACACCGCAACCAAGAAACGCCCTCTCTGCACCCGACGCCTTAATTGGAAGTACTTATGCTAAAAGGAACTATGTGCATAGGATTTGCGTGGAACATAAGTCCTTTCATCATAAATACGTCCAATTGAGGCGTTGGGTGCAAAAAGAGCAATTTTTGGTTGCGGTGTCTCAATATCTTCGGTGCGCATTTATATTTTAGAGTGGAAGATATTCGGAGAAAGTTCTGAAATTTTTCGCTTTCAGCATTGTAATATCATGAAGAAAGTTCAGAAAAAGTTGCAACGAACTCCATACAATTTGCCCTTAATTATAGTGGATGAAACGTTAGCGGAGATTCCGAGATACCGTAACCAGGAAATGCGCTTTTTCACCCACCGCCTCAATTACATGATAAAATTATTGCAACTGCATCAGATTGTCGTGTATGTTGCCTATTTACTGATTGAAGGGGCTCTTGGCGCCGACTGCCGCGGTGCGTAGAAACATTTCATGATGTACTCCAGTAGCACATATACCAATAAATTGCAATTTAACGGCCAAGGAATATCACCGCCTAACTGCAATTTTGGCGAAAATGAATTAGTGACGTTGCCGCATTTTTCAGTATTGAATTCGCAAGCTGATGTTATTAGGTTTTATTCCAATTCCGCATCGGAGCGCTGTAAGAACGCTGAAATGTATGAAAAAATTATCAATCTAACTTCTAAATTACTCAAATGCCGAAGTTTTTCTTTGCCTTGCACAATCGTCAGATTGCAAACAGGCAGTATTATTGTTCCTTGGCCGTAGAATTTCATGATAAAATTATTGCCAGCGAATCGGATTGTCCTGTATGTTGCCTTTTTACTGGTTGAAGAGACTCTTGGTGCCGAGGCGCATAGAAACATTTCATGATGTATCTCAAGTAGCACAGATTGCAATACATTGCAACTACATGGAAAAATTGTTGCTGTGGCATCGAATTGTCGTGTATGTCACCAATTTATTGATTAAAGGGACTTCTTATATGAAAATTAATGCAATAAAACCGTAATAAGTTGCAATTCATCATTTGCATTGCAAACCGCCTATCTTCCTCATACTCGGCACTCATCTTTTTGACTGTTTAAAATCGGCATTCATTGACCAAATGATGTAAAGATATTGCAAAATCGTGATGAAAATATTGCAATTTTATTTCATTAAACCGCAATTTTATTTGAATGTATTTATTGCATTACGGTACTTGGATATGTACTAGTGAACACCGCACTTACAGCATATGGAATTGGAGTATATTGAAATTAGTCTTTGTAATTTGTGTAAAGGAAAAACATGTTTTGTCTAGTCTAGTCTAGCACTATTAGAATTTGAGCGTGTACTTATATAGTCTCGATTTCGGGTGGGAACGCTCTATTAAAGGTTTTGATAAATCAATAACGTTTCTTGAATGCATAAAAAATTAGTAAATAAATTATTTTTAAAGAAATGTGAAGGAAAAAACGCTCAATTATGTAATCATAGAATGAGCTTGTTTGGTAATTTTTAATTCTTGCACGTTTCATAGGTATGGCGTGCACAAAGCTCATAAGTTTCCCTTAATTTTTTTGAACGCTAGCAATCCACGAAAGAAGGGTCCAAAATTGCGTACTTTATCTCCGTCGACAAATCCCTTATTTTCGGGGGAAAAATATGATTCTTCGAATTTTTTTGTTCGTAATTTGATTTAAAGTGTCCGAAAATTTCAAGGTAAAATATTCACAAAGTTCTTCAGAAATTAATATTTTCTGACAAGGAATTTAGCAACATCTGTCTTAACGATTAAATTGCTAAACAAAAAGTGACTGCAATGCTTTAACGTAAATTTAACACACAAAAAATGCTACTTTAACCACTATTGTGAGCTAATTTAACCACATGGGTGGTTAAAATAGCATTTTTTTGTTGTAATATCTACGTTAAGACGGCAGTCACTTTTTTTTAGCAATTGAATTGTTAAATCAGCAATTGAATTTTTTCTGTGTGTCTGCGACTCATATACTGTGCATATACGAGGTGAAATCCCGCTTCTCCAATTCAGCAAACGGAACTGTGAGCCAACTAAGTGCGGCACCCATGAGCCGTGGGCATGTATCTAGAGCATTGTGGACGGGGCTCATGAGTTAAACACCGCCCTGACCGTCGTTTCTCTCGTCGTTGCCGCTGACGTCACATGGCGCTTTATATTTCCCATTCATTCTTATGGCCCGAGCACCAACGAGCACACCCCATCTTTTCCTCCGCACATGGTTCCGTTTGACAGGAATACGTCCAAATTTGAAATGTATTTATACTTGCTTCCGTGATGGAAACGACGGTTTGGCAGCCGGCCCCACTGTGCGGATTCCAAGCTCCAGACTCCACTCCACCGCCAGCCCCAACTGACGCGACCCCCG